GTTTTATGAGCAATTTTGAGAAATGTGACAGTTTAGTTCTTTACAAAAGTTTACATAGATGCCTTTTATATTTTTGATATACATGCTAATATACCAAAACTGAAAAATCTTTCATTACAGTTAAGATGCCTTTTTACACATATTTATAAGTCACAGATTTTAATCCCTTCACTTCAGTTGAAAATCGAATAAGCAACTCTTAGGAAAATGTCTGATTTATTTGTGTGTTTGTTGCAGTTATGTTTTTTAAATGCATAACAAAATAGTATACTAAAGTGAAGGGGTTAAAGAGGCTCTGATGTCTCATGGAAAACATTCTATTTAGGAACAGTTTCACTTAGGTACAATTTTCTGGTGTTCTCCCCTCACTGTTGAATGTTAAAGGCTTTTGCTTAAAGACAGGAATGAAATCCTGGCTTCACTGAAGTCGGTGTTAAAACTCCTGTTGGTTTCAGTGGGGCCAGAATTTCATCTGGGATCTTATTCCTTAAAAATTAATCTCCTCTTGTTAATTCCTCATTTTAAGATACAATGATCTGTGTGACATCATAATTATAGCAACTAATTGAGATTCACAGACATTCCCTTGGCCCAAATTACTGCTGGTGTAATGCATAATTTCACTGGAGTCAGTGGAGTTGTGCCCATTTACACCAGTAATAATTTTTTAATTAAGCAGCATGGGCCTGATAGTGCTTTAGTTCTTTAGTACCTTCTCCAAAATGAATGCTGAGTGCCCTCAATTTCCAAACAGGAGCAAAGACAGCTTAGTAACTGACAGTAGATACTCTGCTTCTTGCAGGAATGGAACCCTAGGAAAAGAGGAACAGGAGAACTCCAAAAAGCAACAAAGATCCTGTTTTCATATATCTGTTCCCTTATAATAACAGAACAAGAGAACAAGAGAACTGCAAAATTTAGATAGAATTGCCCCTCAAAATGTTTTTTAAAGTTTTCTGTGAGACATCAACACATCTTTAAGTGGTCTGTTGTCATGCAAAAATAGTATATTCTTTCTGAGTTTACATTCATCTTATAGTAGTTTATTTACATATAGATCACAAGATTGTGCTTTTCACACATGGAAAAGAAATTAACTCAATTTGTTTCATTCTAGAAGAATTATTAAAGACAACTTACTTTGTTATATGCAGCAAAATCATACCCAAGGCAGTAATGACACTGGACCTTACTATTGCTGAGATAGTAGCAATTGCATAATGTACTGTAAAAGCATACTTTAGCAGCAAAGGAATTACCACTTCTTCTCTATAATGTACACTATAGAATCGAATATTTTACCCTGAACATTTGCCTTTCAGTACCACATTACTTAATTACACATATTGCCAGTCCTGTAAGGTTAGGACTCAATGCTGTGCGAGTTCTATCGTGTACCTTCTTTGTTTCTTTGATGGTTTCTGGGGCAGGGGAGGTATGTTGGCTATGCAATATACTGAGTGAAGAACATCATATATATATGCATCATTCTCTCAAGGGGATTGGGCTTGAAGGTATGTTTGAATCTGGTTTTCTCATATGAGCACAGGAGGCAATCTTTTCAGCGGACATAGTATCAGGCCCAAGGAAACTCTTTTTCGACTATATAAAGGGGAAGAGCACATCATATTATGAAGGAAAATGAATTGTAGAACTACCTCAACATACTAGTCTGCTCAAGGTGATGCCATCTTTGGGGGACCGGACAGTCGGCACACCACAGGGGCCCTATTCTGATCTCACCCTGATTTCACACCAGTGTAACTCCATTGACTTCAGTGGAGTTACTACTTTTTCTTCTCTCTGGTTTGTATAAGAATCAGCCCCTATACCTTCAAGTGATAAGATGAAAATACTTATTTTTAAGCCACCCAGAGTAGAAATGCTTTTGGAGAAGAGCAGTACATACTCTTCTGGCACTTTGATGGCACTTGAGTTTTGAAGGGGAATTCTCAAATAAGACAAAGATACACAACACACTGTGTAAATTATTACCCTGAGATACTATAAAGAGGTCATAGGGGAACTCAAACCTAATGAATACTGGGATTTTCCTTGCAATGGCCACAATAAATATTTTCACTTAAGGAAAAACCAAAATGTGCAAAAGGAAGACAGGTGTGCCAGATATTTAAGGAACGCATGTTAGTGCTTATCATGTTAAAGAACATATTTAGACACATTCATTTGAGGTTTTAATCCCTTCTAATGTATCCAAGGTTAATGAGGCTGAGAGTGATCTGCAGAGGAAGTTCTAATTACGCAAGATAAAATTACCGGGGGGGGGATGAGGATGGCTTTAGTTCATGTAACCAGGGTTTTCCCCAAGATTTAAAAATTGACACACTTTTGGGATATGGCTGTAGAAAAATATTCATTTGAGCCAATTCTTTCCAAATTTTACATCATCTTGGTGTGGTCATGTACATATTTTCTTCTTCCAACTCCTACTCCCACCCCCTCTAGTATTAAAATTAACAAGCATGTGAGCCATAAATAAATTCAAATTAGGATCCTCAGTTGTCTGGACAGGTCAGGTGGACTGAATCATTTTAGAGGAAAAGGCAAGTAAATTAAATTCATGCTGTAGAGAACGGTCAGTGGAAAATAGCTTCTTTTACACATCTGTTTATTTAAGGAACTAGATCATATTTGCTTAAAGGAGAAAAAAGGTATTGCACCTGATGCTCCGATGCCTTGCACTGTGGATAGTCATTTATATCAGTGTAACATGAGTGTAAAACACTACCAGATCACAATGGTAGTGTTTTACACCAATTTTGTACTGATGGAAATGACTACACAAGATGCAGGGCAATGAAGAATCAGGCCCATAGAATGCACATTTGATAAATCAAATAAACACGTGCTGTACAAGCAAGATTATGTAACAGATGCAGTCTCCTGTGTATTTTTAGCTGTTTGTTCTGAAATGACTTTAATAAAACAGACTGCATAAAACTAGCTCATTAGTTCAATTTATTTCATTTCTTTTAAAGCATGCAATGGAATTTCAGAGGGAAGGTATAGATTAATAGTTTAACTTAGGCTTTTTAGTATGAAAACTAATGATGGACTCCAGTCTCAGACAGAAAAATAAGTTTGTATTCACAGCCCTAGCAAACCAGGTCATCTAGCAGCCTCATGCTAGTGTGTGGATTGGTGTAACTAATAGCAGTTATTACAAAAATAAGTTCAGCTGGAAGAAGCCACCAAGGCTGTTCACTCATGGAGTGTCCTCAAGTTCCTTGAATTGTTCAGGCCTGCGGCTTTTAACACCATGCTGTTTGAGCATGTAGTTCCAGAGTCTGCTCCTATTCCACTGGGGAGATATTGCCTTTCTAGTGGCTTCCCCTTTGCCACAGTGAAGGCTAAGGCTTTATCCAGACCAACTGCTTTACATGGTAATTGGGATCATGGAATTGTATTAGAGCTTTGCAAATGTCCAAAATACAGGGAAGGGTCCTTCTTTGATAGATCTTGATTCAGTCAAGGAAACATTTTAAATTGGTCGTAGCACAAAGATCAATCTTTCCCTAGCTGAAAGCTCAATTTTGAAGACCCATCAGAAAGAAAAAGAAAGAAACCTGTGGCCCCTCCCACTAGGGTTACCACTTTTGAAACGCAAAAAACCCCAGTACCTTCCCTCCACCCCTACTCCAAGCTTGCTGCAACCCCAACCCCCAACCACAAGCTAACTTGATCAGTTGGCGAGAGCAATCAGGACAAATGCCCACTTTTGCAAAAGAGCGGGATGCGAGGCGGAGGAACATGTGGGGGGGAAAGGGAGGCGAGTAGAGATGCCAGCCCAGTACAGGGGGGAGGTAGGGCTGGGGAGGGGGAAGGAAGCTTACCAGCATGCAGAAATCTGGCAGGGTTTTAGCGACTGGGCAACAACCTTGTGGAGGGGGGCAGGGTTCAGGTGACCAGCAACAGCCTTGCAAGGGGAGGGTAGTGGGGAGTGGCAGGCTTCCAGTGACTGGCAACGGTCTTGTGCCGGGGGGTGGGGTGGGGTGGCAGTTCGGGCGAGCAGCTGGGGGTATCCCATTTTCCCCTTGGGAAATATGGTCACCCTAGAGATAACACATGTGAAGTTATCACTCTCGCATGACGCAAACCCTCTCTCACACACGTGTGCTGCGCTTGCATGTTGCTTCTGTTTTTTCAAACACGTTTGAGCAGTTATCACTTAAACTGCAGAAGTGGGAATACGGCAGCATCTTTAGCTGGACACAGACTTTTGACATTAGATATCCAAGTGTATTATGATCATAATGCAAATCCTTAGGCCCACGTTAAAAAAGATAACCTGGCAGACTAAATTATTTTTCTGGTAATTCCATAAAAAAAACCAGCCAGGGCAGCCAAATACCAGCCAGGTGGTAACCTTACCTCCCATCCTGCCATCTCACAATGGTGGTGGGAAGGAAAACCGTCGAGGAAGCTGCCCCCTCAGCAACATGGGCACTCAGGAGCAGGGCCGGCTCTAGGATTTTTGCCGCCCAAAGCAAAAACAATTTTGGCCGCCCCCCCCCTCTTGAATATACAACCCACCCAGAGCCCCGCCTCAACTCCGCCCCTTCCCTGCCTCCTCCCCCTAGCCTCAAGCCTAGGAGGGAGGGGGAGCAGCGTTTCGCGCGCCGTGGCCGCTCGGGATCTCCCCCTCCCTCCCAGGTTTGAGAGCCTGGGAGGGAGGGGGAGACTCCGAGTGGCTGCGGTGCGGGCGCCGCTACTCGCCCTCCCTCCCAGGCTCTCAAACCTGGAGCAGCGGCGCGCGAATCAGCTGTATCGCGCGCCGTGGCCGCTCGGGATCTCCCCCTCCCTCCCAGGCTTGAGAGCCTGGGAGGGAGGGCGAGTAGCGGCGCGCGAGCGGCAGCAGCAGCGGAGGTGAGCTAGCGCGCCCGGGGCACATTTTTAGGGGCGGCATTCTGGCGCCGGCCATGCTGCCCCTAAAAATGTGCCGCCCCAAGCACCAGCTTGTTTTACTGGTGCCTAGAGCCGTCCCTGCTCAGGAGTAACACCTCCAGCAACACAAGGGAGGCCCTTCATCGTTGTGCTACAGCAATGGGGATGTGATGCCACCATTTCTAGCAAGTAAATTTGTTTTACTGAACATTTTGTTCACCATTATAGTTCATACGTTGAGCCAGAGCTCCATTCCTCTACCTGCAGCTGTGCCAGGGAGTTAATCTGACTGGACTGCACAGCACTAGCAGCATGTAAAGCAATAAATTAAGAATCAGGAGTGTACAGGATGCTGAGGGCTCATTCACACTAGTTCTCCTCCTCTTGTGAAGCTTTTTATTTTGTAGCTCCCACAGAAAGCTGATCCTGAATAGATCAGTCTGCCACAGAGCCACCAATCCTTCCACAGCCTTCCCAGCTCGTGCATTTATGAACCCATGGGCATATTGTGCTGAATCAGCATCTCAAGGAAGATCTATCTGCCATGCTATAAACTGAGTTCAGATGCACTGAAAAAAGAAATACAGGGAATTCTGTAACTTCCTAAAATATTTTTGCAGTTACAAAGTGGTATTAATCTGGGTTTTTCCATTAGGCCTAATATGCTGATGGGTATATTACATACAGATGAAATCAGGAGATTTATTCCTCGTTCTCTGTTAGTCAGATCATTGATGATTACATAAAGTCAATGGAATTTGTCTTGCAGAGTATAAAAGCTGTCACTTAAAAAAAAAAAATGACCAAAGATCTTGCTTGAAGTTCTAGGTTAGGGAAAACAGACTTAGTTGTGATTTTAATTATCAGCCTTTGAATGTTTGAGGTAGACCACATTATTGAATTATGCAGGATTTTAGTCACTAATCTATAACGTTATATACAATCATATCAACAGATATAACACATACCTTTTTCCTGATGTGTAATCAATAGTATTTGGGGGCATTAATAATAATGTAACCTTCCATGATATACTTTAAGATGTGCTGGAATTTATGTATCTTTATATGGATATGTAGTGTAGTTTTCAGTAGTCTCCTACAGCATACACACTGTAAAAAATTAAGGTACTACAGCTGATGAAAAAGGAAAATTACTGTTATATCAGCGGTGAGGTCTTGGAACAACAAAAGGTTCAGACACAAGGTCAGGTGCTTATTCATTTCAACTGTGTCATTCTGGCTCTGTACTTTTGAGTATGTACTTTAATATTGCTACAAAGTCCATTATTCAGAAGAATTTTCCTGCCACTTCATATGGAGACACTTGAATAAAGCTCTTCTATTTGTTTTTTGAAGTAATCTCTTAGCTCTCGTCTCCTAGCCTTTAGTGTTGGTGTCAGCAAGCCATTTTGTATTGAGAACATATCAGAGTGGATGTAAATGGTTTTGACCTGAAATAGAAAATGAATATATTTATGGCAACACTAAACTATCATCATCCACTGTTAATTAGTACTAATCAAAACTCCTGAAATCGTAACTATCCTGCTTAGGTTATCAGCAAAAATGACTCTGCTGGGTCCATCTTCAATCATACTGGTTGTCTGTCCATATCATAAAGTATCCACACACTCTTCTTGTTTAACGGAACTCTCAGGACTGATATAATATTTGTGTTGCAGGTTGGAATTAAGAAGCACTAACAGAGTGGAGTGGTGAAGTTTGAACACCACCTGTCTGTACTATGGCTGTATCTCACCACTTCTGAATCAGTCCCTCATACTTTTATTAGCATCATCTTCTCCCTGCACCATAAACCTTTGTCCACATGCTCCCCCAAAAATATTACCCCCATCCCTAAAAGAAATACACATCCAGTCTGCTGTGCTTTTGTTCCACTGTGTGGTGTGCAATGGAGCATATCCCCAAAAAACTCAAGAGTGGCTCAAGCAGAGGGGAAATGTGGCTATGTGTGAGCCACAACATTTCCACATAGCTGAAGGGTCACAGAAGACAAGAGGGTGTCACAGAGTCAGGAGAAGGAGAAATCATACTAAGAGCAAAAAGTCTTCTGATCCAAAGTTAACATGATGATGATCATGCAAAAAAAGAATGATGTTTTAGTGACCAGTTACAGTGATAAAAACCACTCGGCCCAGGCAACTAGAATTTTACCAGGCTGCTCTTACTAATCCATGGTGTCTGAGCACAGCAGGAAGCTTGGTGGCACAGATGGAGTGGGTTGTGTTTCCATTATATTTATGGTGGTGCTGGTGTGGGAGACAGTAGAAAACTACTCTGTATGGCTGGCCACAATCCACATGGTTCAGACAGGACTCCTTAGCCATCTTCTGCTTTTTTTGCCCGTTACCAACCCACTTCACATTTTGACAGACTAGGAGTTGTAGGAAATGTGGTTTAAGAATGACTTTTTTATTCCATTAAATCCTGTGGCTCTCTTTTCCCTGTGTGCATTTTATTCCAGGGACCACAAATACTTTCTTTATATACTGTGGCCAAGTGACTTTTAAAAGGGACTAGTGATTTTGAGTGCTGTAATTTTTGGGTGCTTAACTTGAGACGCACTAAGGGGGCATGATTTTGGAACACTCATTCTCTAAATTGTCTCTGAGTTGAGCACTCAAAAACTGCAGCACCTTTTGAAAGTCTTGAATTATATGTAATTATATACAAAATGTTTACATAAAAGAACAACATAGTGGTACAGCAATTATTTTTAAAGTTATTAAAATGGTAAACTTTGTGCATTAATGTTATAGCTAGTTAAAAGATTATGAAAGAGTCTGATTAAAAGTACAAGACCCCTCAAATGAACACTGTCCTGTCTGGATCCAAGATAAGAGTTAGAGGAAAATTAGACTGGGTGGCAAAGGGTTCTGCAGTACAGCATAAGATATAGCCCCACACCAAAGGGAAGAGTTTCTGGTAAATTCACATCCATTTGTGACTGTCTTCTTAAAAAAAAACCAACCCTATGATAAATATCCAGAATATATTGGCCTGGATCTACTACTCTTCAAAAGATTTTTATATATCAGAAATTCAGGTCTTTTCTGCTCAGAAGTGCTTTGGGGTTACTGCAGAACTAGTGAAATGGTGACATCACAAGAATCAAAGTCGTGAAAGTGGAGCAATTGTGAGGAGAAAGGATTTTTAATTAGACTTGTTTAAAAACTCTTGGGTTTGCTTGTTTTAGTTAATGCCTATTTAAATAGTCATTAGACCAGAGACAATGTGTGAGAATGTTTCACTCAATATGCATCCGAAGAAGTGGGTTGTAGCCCACGAAAGCTTATGCTCTAATAAATTTGTTAGTCTCTAAGGTGCCACAAGTACTCCTGTTCTAATGACTCTATAGTTTAGGGCTTAGGGCACTCACCTGGAGGTGTGAGACCGAAGGTCATGTCTAATTATTTATACTCAGTGGAACAGCTTAAATAGGAGAGTATGAGAAAGACCTGCCCGAGAACATCCCATTGCTCAATGACTGGACCAATCTCCGAGACCCAAATTTAAATCCCTTCTCCACATCAGGTAGAGGGGTCAAATAGTGAATAGTTTTTGGTTGACTGAAACTACATTTTTTTACAAATAAACTATTAGTCTGAAAAATTTCACCCAACTCTATCTATGGGGAAGGTGGACCCATGCAAAGGGACATCTCTGTATGGTCCATACTGGTCAGATAATCTGGCCCACTGTTAGGTCATAACAATCACATACTGCTTTACACATGAGGCTCTACACAATAGGCCCTTGTTTTCGAACTGCAATACATTCAGGTATTTCCATTTCATATTGTTTCTCCCTAGATTTTTAGCATTGCCGCAGAGTTCTCATAACCTCACAGTTTATTTAATACATGTCAGTAGAACTGGTAAGTTAAGGGTATTCATATTGTGAAGATTAGGGCAGGAACAACCGAGGGTAATTACTAGATAGCCAATTTCATGTATTATGATCCACACTCCATGTGGAATTTCTTTTATCAGTTATGGAACTGTCAGAAAAATGGAGACAAGGAGATTTAAGGTTTCTGGAGCTTCTGCAAACTCTTTAACACAGTGGATTTTCACTGGACTTCTCAAGCAAAAACAAACAAATAAATGAAGCTTACTAGTGATGTTTAAATAATGTCTTAGATATTCACTTTTATATTAATATTGTTTTGATCTATATTATTGCTACCATGAAATACTGCATCAGTTTCAGAATTTTCCTGCTTGAATATTTGTAATTCTGTTGCAGAAAATATTTAGGCAAGCGTCAGAAAAGGATTAGTGCAAGCACTGAAAATAAACAGAGCAGCTGTATTTTCTAGGTCAGTTACATGAATGGTACTGTAATTACGGACCTGATCCTACTTTGCAACATTGCTTTCAATGGGAGTAAGATCAGGCTCCTAAAAATACTGTTCTTGACCTCTGGTGATTATATCAGGGATTATATAGGGCCTGTTCTTGTATTTCCTATGCACCCATAACTCCCACTGAATCTACTCTGACTCCTGCTGTGTGTAGAAAGCGGGATCAGGGTCTGTAGTCCTTATTTAATCAAAAACGATAAAAATAATTTGTCAGTGGTATAGTGGTGCTTTCACAAAATTCCTGCATGGAACCAAAATAATAATGAGGCTTTTATTACTGTGGACTTTTGTGGCAATATTCATGCATTCTTAAGGGGCCAAAGAGTTTAAGAAAGACACAAATGCAAGCTATAATTACTTTCAGAAACAACATAATCAGACATTTAGGCTTTATATGATGCATACTAACAACTGCCTATTTATCGTAAAGGGGCGAGTTATCTGACCATAGGGAATAATGTTATCATACCTGCTCAAAAGAATGAAGTCCACCCTCCTTCCCTAGCCGCACCATATCTTCCATTATTGCTTGTGTCAGTTCCTGGGTTAGAACACATAATTTTCTGTTACCCTTCAAGAGACATCTTTACATCCAATTATATTACTCAGCAGGAAAATAAAGTTTACTGATCAAAGCACAAATACGCTGTTGATTCTGGCAGTTTCATACATCAGTTAGCAAATGTTGCTTTAAAAGAAATTCCTTTATAAATAGAAAATGAATGACTACTTTATAAATGAGTAATGTAATAATATTTTTATACAGCAGAAAATGTAAGGCTAACGTTTTCAAACTTTGGTGGTTGAGGATAGACATTTAAAGCCTTAATCCTTCAAACTCTTAGACAAACTCTTAAGTGCCCGAATAGTCCCACTGACTTCAGTGGTATTCATGTGCTTTTAAAGTTAAGTGTGTGTGTAAATGGATTGTGGTTTAAATCATGTATGTTTCATGACAGTAGTAGGTGCTCAGTACTTCTTAAAAACCACTTTGCTTATTAAGGTGCCTAAATATGAATATAAGTGCCTCACTTTAGCCACCAAGGTAGAATATTCTCACTTAATCGTTGCATCTTGCCATTAATTATAACAACTACTATTAATTTTTTAGCGGAGTTAAACATTAATAGGAGAGAAAAAGTGTTACCTTTCATACGAGTCTAAAAAGAGATTGCATAGGTTTAATTATAGAAAAAGAACTGTATGATATATATTCACAGAAACATTCAGAAGAGTGGTTATAATGACAGAGACAAATGATCCATCTAGTTTGGTATTCTGTCTATGACAGCAGGCGATGCTCAATGCTTGGGGAAAATAGGTGGCATATGCAGGTGTATGATTACTGAAGACCTTGTCTTCTTACATATTTGGAAGATGCCATTAGTACAGCTACTAAATAAGAACGATGTTAAGGAGCTTAAGGGCTTGGTTTGCCTATTCTCTTTTATGTGAGCATACCTTTATTTCAGTGCTATCATTTCCTAGCGCTGCATATTACAGATCACTGTTAAACGTACACACATATGTATTTTTAAGGACACACCGTATTTTTACAGAGCTCTGCATATGTTCCCTCAAACCCTCTTTTCCTTGCCCAGCCTGGCATGACTTCAGAATCAGGTACAACAATTCCCACCAAGAAGGCCTGTATCAGAAAAAAATGTATCAGCCAAGGAAAGAACCATATTTAAAATATAATATTCCAGTACATAAATAATCTCTCTTAGTTTGCCGGGTTTAATCATTTCAATACAGCACTGTATTTGGCTAAAATTTCATGATGAAGTATTTGTGATGAACATTTCTTCTCCTCAGATAAAAGAGCCATAAAATGACAGTTAATATATTTGCCAGAAAAATATAATACATTGGCCCAGATTCTGGAATTTGAATTCTATGCTGCACCGAAGCTAACAAAGTTACTTTGCTTTTACGCTGGTAAAGTGGGAGCAGAACTTGGTCCATTTTGTTTATCACTATTCCATTCATGGATCTCTGACCATCCAGGGAAATCATATTGATGTCAAAGAGAAATATGTGTTTGGCTCCAGGGCATGATTAGTGGGTAAGGGTTAGTTGTTATGGTGTCTGAAATTGTACCTGTTGGTATGCAAAACACCAACCATTGCATATGTAAACTGGATAGCTTACACATGCAGCTATCTCCACTGTGTGCGCAAAAAATCAGATTTTTCACACATAAAACTTTAATGAGCAGAATTTTGTGGACAGAATTTCAGAAGCCACTTTGAAAACATGTCCCAAACTATTCTGTTTTAATACAGAGAATAGTTCTGCCCACCTGCGTAAGCACTTGGCAGACAGACCTCTCACATGCAGGTCCTATGCAGGACACAAGTGCTGAAGGGTCCTGCACTTGTCCTCCACTTGTGAATTAAAGTGCAGCTCTAGCATCTGCTCTGCTGTTCTCTATTTCTAAAAGTTGATGCCAGTAGTCTCAGCACCCCAGCAGCCTAACCTTTGTTGAGTTTTTTTGTAGGCATCATGGCACAGGAGAGTTTTAAGGAGGGATTTGAAGGAGGATAATGAGGTAGCTTTAGAGGCTAGATTGTCACTCATTCCCCAAACTGTGTATAGTCACTCAAGTGGTTGGGGGCCTAACTGGCTATGAGTCAATTCCAGAATTGAGGAGGAGGATGGTGAGGGGTAGAAAGGTCACCTTTACTGATCCCTTGGTGGCAGGCACAGAACCTGTCAAGCAGACTGTTTGAAGTGTTACATTTTACCTGTAAGCTGTCTCCATGCACATATATCTGGGCAATAGGCTCACTGCGGATGTAGATATTCTCAATCTTTTCAGGCGCAATATATTCTCCCTGAGCAAGTTTAAATATATGCTTTTTCCGATCAATAATTTTAAGTGTCCCAGTCTGTTGGGAAAGAGAGACGATGGTTACCAAAATTGTTATTTGAATATACAGGCCCAGTCAACAATGTATTTTTTGACTCTACCTTTCATTAAAGAGCTAACAGTAAAACTGGGAGGAGGTGCACAATCCCCTGGCTACCAGCAAGGGTGGACCATCCAGGCAGAGCAAAGATCAGAGCAAGAGTGTCTGAACCCAGGAAACTGGCCCTACCTAAGGTTTATTGGTGGTGAACTGCCCAGCAGAAAAGGTTGAATTTAATCAGTCTTGCAGCCCTCACTTGGAAAAGAGATTTTCAGGATCAGGAGGACATTTTTGATAAATATAGTCTCTTAAACACAGGTTGTATTTTCAGCCCATTAGCCATGATAGAGTCTCTTTAAGGGTATGTCCAAACTTCCATTATAAACTCAACCATCATCACGCAGGGAAGGAAAGTGCTATTCTGGTAGTCAGAAGAACTGTTTAAAAATACCAAAAAATACTTCATGACCATTTTGTCCCAGGCCATCATGCTGCCCAGAAATTTTGCTTTTTGTGACATTTCTGCCAAATGCCCATTTATACATCGAAACCAACAAGTTTTTGATATACATTGTCTTTCTTCTGAAAGACAGATTAAAATAAGAAATTTCATTTAAAAAAAAAAAAGTCTTTTCTCCCCTCACTTTTCAGTCTGAAAAAGTGTTCTGTGCACTTGCTTTTGTATGTGTAAAACAGGGGCCAGAATAATGGTGTTTAAAAAACTCAAAAGATAATGAAAATGCTTTGGTATTCAGAGGTTTCCCAGTTTTGTGTTGAGTTTGTCCTCCCGCCTCTTGTTCCAGGTAGGATATTTTTTTCACCTGATAATTTAAAAAAAATATTTTTTAATGTAGATGTTGCTGTTTAGACAAATTCTTTATCAAATACTATTAGAGTTTAAATATGAAAAAAAATTGCAGAAAGTAGTAACTATTTTCAAAAGTGCTGAGAACTTGCAGTTGAATGGTATTTGAGAGCATTCAGTACTTCAAAAAAAAAAATCAAGGTGTTTGGTCTTTAAACAAGTGAGTTGATTTCAGCATGCCACTGTAGAGGTGGCTCGATTTCCGAAGCAGTTGAACTGATCTCTGTCTCCCCAGTGTCATCTCTTCCAAAGATTAATTAAAGATTGAGTGATTGGCTTTGGATATTAAAATAGCCTCTGGGCAGAGGCAAATCTGCTTGATACCTTACATGAACTAATGAGATATCAAAGAAACTTTTCTTTATGCTTTGCTTCAAACTTGGGATGCTGAGGCATGAAGCTGACCTGTAACTGGGCCCCAGGTGCATGGACTTGACTCTGAGGACGCACGAACTCCTGGTGGTTGACATAGGGTTATTCCACAAAAAACAGTCAAACACAGATTTGCTTGAAAATACAAGTGTACTACCTTAGAATTTACATAGGAATATACAATTTACACAAGAACTGAGAATCTGACCAGTACATACAGGTAACCATTTCCCAATGTCTCCAGTATGAAGCCATCCTTCTTTATCCAGAGCTTCAGCTGTCTTCTCATCATCTTTTAGATAACCTTTGAAAACATTGGGTCCTTTCACACATATCTGCAAAAGAGTCATGGTTGCTGACAAAGTCTCGAGCTTTTGTTATGGAATCATACCAAAATGTTAACGGGTGGATTCTTTCCCATCTGAGTGCTCCAATAAAATAAAATATTTCAAAGTGTTACCACCAACCATATATTGTTTAAACTAATGTAGGTGTAAGGTAAGAAAACAAGACTGTGCAAAACTTCGGTCAATTTGTGTGTGAAATTTTCTGGACTTTTCTTGTTTGTTTTTCTCAGCCCTAAAATTGTCTTTTGACAATATTTCATGAGAACAGAAAAACTGACTGCTAATGCATGTGATATCACAACCTTCCACATATTTTTCATAAAGACAACAATTTTGCTGAAAAATGCGATCATTTTCACTAAAAATGAACTCTCTTTAGTGCAGATACTTTGCACTGAAAATTGGGCCATATTTTTCATTTACAGTCAAAATAGGAAAACACTTAGATTTTGAACATTTTGAATGTTGTGAACATTTCACTCACCTCTAGTTAAAACCTAAATGCACTAGCAAGAATAAAGTGTCAACGCTTTCAGGGTAAGCTGTGAACATAATTAGGGAGTATAGAGTACACTGTGGTGAATCATATCACTGCATGCTGTACATCCAGATGCTGGATGAAATCTTGGCCCCACTGAAGTCAATGGGAGTGTTACCATTGACTTCAGTGGGGATGGGATTTCACCCACTAGGTTCGTGAGCTAAACTGTACATATGGGGCATTGGGGACAGAACTCAGGACTAAAATATGAACCCTTTATCTCTGGAGCCTAAGGAGTCCTCATTAGCTAAAAGCATTAAAAGTATTAGCGGGTATATTCTTTGAGAGACTCCAGCTGCTAATTTAGGCTTCAGTCCTGCATTGGTATCCACTAGCACAACTACGTGTGCCTGCAAAGAGTCCTGCTAAAAATCAGTGGGACTCTGCAAGAATCCAGCCTATGTAGGCTCAGAGCCATAGACACAAACACGGGAGCACGTTAACATTCTATGGTATTAAGCACTCGCCAGTAAATTACAGTGTGCTGGGATTTTGTTGCCGAAGGAAAACTGGAAATGCAGAACTCTGGGATAATACGAAATTACACTTTATTTCTCTTTAACGTAGCATGCGTGATATTATAGGTTATGAAATGGGCTGACAACCATTGACATTAAAGGGAAAATGTAAATATAATCCTCAGCTTTGATTTTATTCTGTGAATCAATGGCCTTTCATTGAACTTGAAAGTATAAATGGAAAAAAGAAAAATAGTTATGTTAAAAAGTAAATAAATTAGGTCCAGTGCATTATAAAAATAACTAAGCTTGATCCCACAAAGTTCTGAGTGCCTATTGCAAGCTGCTGAAAGCCCTCAGTGGGACAGGATAGCAGTCAGTATCTACCAGGACCAGAATTTAGGCCCTGATTCAACAAGCCATCCCTATTCAGCGAACTACATAAGCACATGCTTAACTTTAATGGGACTTAAACACATGCTTAAAGTGAAGCTTGAGGTTAAATGCTTTGCTGAATTGGGACCTTAAACATGTAGAGAGCCAAGTCTTACAATCCTAGTGCTGTTCTGACTCAGAGGAAAGTCCTATTGACGTCATTGTCTATTTCAATAAGAGTTTTCACTGCACTAGGGATACATGAGGACTGGATGAGTTGATCCTTATAACCCTAGCCCTAATCTTGTGAAGCGGTCTGCTTAGGTGAACCCTTATGCCTCAATGGGATTCTGTGTGAGTGTAAGGGTCTGCCTGTGTGGAACCCTCAAGCCCCTTCAAAAGTAATTAGCTGTAGCACTTGCTGGAGGTTCTGTAATACCTTGTATTTGTAATTAACACTATGATGTTCTATTGCTGCCTGACGTGTTCCTTTGTTCTGCTTTTTTCCTTTCATTTCTCAATCTATGACAAGGGGCAAATACAAGCAGTAACAAATGGCTCACAGATTTTTATAATGACAGCCTGCCTCAAAGAGTTAACTACCGAGGGGCTGTATATAATGTTTGAGATGATACCTCTCCTTCTCCTTTCGAAGCAAAATAATTCATCTCTTCCACATCCATCAGTTTGATTAAATTGCAGGGCAGAGGGGCTCCTACGTGACCTGCAAATTAAGGTCATTTGTCATTTCATTCTATAAATGGTGCTCATTAGATTATTATTAGCACATCACCCATTTCTAGCTGAACTTCTTGAAGTTCAGTGTTCTTGAAGCATATGTGTCTGTGTGCAGAATCCTTTAACCTGTCTGGATATGATTCCTATTTTTAAGTGCAACAATACAGGACCCTTTTGTCTTACCATCTTCCTCTGACCAACAGGAAATTAAATCAACCCCTCTTTTAAAGACCTAACTCAGAGTAACTTGTTAATAACAGAGCCCGAAGTTCTGTTTTGTGTATCATCTAGAACAGTGGTTCCCAAACTTGTTCCATCACTTGTGCAGGGAAAGCCCCTGGCAGGCCGGGCCGGTTTGTGTACATGCCGCGGTTCGCTGCTCCAGGCCAATGGGAGTTGCTGGAAGCGGCGGCCAGTACGTCCCTCGGCCTGCGCCGCTTCCAGCAGCTCCCATTGGCCTGAAGCAGCGAACCGCAGCTACTGGGAGCCGCGATCGGCCGAACCTGCGGACGCGGCAGGTAAACAAACTGGCCTGGCCCACCAGGAGCTTTCCCTGCACAAGCAGCGGAACAAGTTTGGGAACCACTGATCTAGAAAAGTCAAAGGCTTTGAGTTACAATGGCTTTAAATGCAACCTTTTTCCAATTTCTCCAAAGTAAACTATAACTGCTTAAACTACTCTAAATTATGCTAACTGTCAGTGACCCAAATGGAATGTTCTGGTAGACAGATCACAGGAGCACAAAGGTGTTCAGGCTAGGGTGACCAGACAGCAAATGTGAAAAATTGGGATGGGGTGGGGGGTAATAGGAGCCTATAGAAGAAAAAGACCCAAAAATCAGGACTGTCCCTCTAGAATCGGGACATCTGGTCATCCTAGTTCAGGCCCACCCCAAGGAATGGTCACTCTGAAAGGCAAGGTACACTGGTTCTCTGCCACCCAGGGTTTTATCCACACTAGTGGAATCCTTCACAGATCTGCCCAGGTTTAAATCTGCTTAGGACCAGCAGATTTAACAAAGTGAGGATCCAGTCCTTAATATATTTTTGTGAATGTGTGTTCAGTAATTATGTGCTGGGTAGGGCACCAAAGTGAAGACAGTGTGAAACAAACATAGTGAAAGTTTAACCGGAAACATATATTATGGCAGTACATCTCGTAGTAGGTCATTGGCCTTTTCTGCTGGGCAGAAAAACAAGCTGATATACAGCAATCTGTACTGGAAATCACATTCTGTGCTCTACTCCAATCACCGAAAATTAGTGTTGAAAAGGGAGGTTTTTAGATAATTAATGGGACTAATAAATTATGTCCAATTTTTGTACAGGTATTCATTTGAATGAATTTGATCATACCTGTTCCAAAGCCATTCTATAAATACTAATAATTAATACTGCACGACTCTTATTATTTATTATTTACTGAGCACTGATAACATGCTGGGTGCTGATTGAAGTTTTCATGTGATTATATTAACCATCATAAGATCCCAAAGGTTTGAAAATGTAATAGCCTAGAATCCTTAAACCAGACTAACCTTAAACCTCTAAGCATCCTCTTTTTTCCCCATTATCTGGCATTGGATCTGTGCTCAAAGCCTGATTTTGGTCACAAGTGAATATGAATTTGTTAGCCTAATCTTTGTTCCAGTGTTACATCTGACAAACACAATTCAATAGCACTAGTAGTCTCTGCTCAAGGCAGGCCAGAAGTGGAAAGGACAGGGGATTTTTGCAGATCAGGACCAAGGCATAGTTCTAGATCTTTCTAGGGCAGGGGTTGGCAACCTTTCAGAAGTGGTGTGCTGAGTCTTAATTTATTCACTCTAATTTAAGGTTTTGCGTGCCAGTAATACATTTGAACATTTTTAGAAGGTCTCTTTCTGTAAGTCTATAATATATAACTAAACTATTGTTGTATGTAAAGTAAATAAGGTTTTTAAAATGTTTAAGAAGCTTCATTTAAAATTATATTAAAATGTAGAGCCCCCCGGACCGGTGGCCAAGACCCGGGCAGTGTGAGTGCCACTGAAAATCAGCTCACGTGCATAGATTGACTACCCCTGCTCTAGGGAAACTTGTATAGCATCTGATCAAATTCTACCTTTCTTTGGCTAGTGCCATTAATACCTCACTTTCATAAATACTGAATTCACCCAAATTATTCAGCACAATGATAAAGTATTGCATAGTATCCTGTAGGTATTACGGTCCCAAAAAAGTATTCCAAATACACTAACAGTTTTGTCCATTTTTACCTGAAGTCCAGTCACCTGGAGTGGTAAAGGTACATCCTGCTGTGCACTCTGTTTGACCGTAACCTTCATAAACCTGACAAAGAGATATATAGCTTTGAACCTAATGATAGATTAACACTTACATATGATTTGAACATTGTTCAGTTTCCTTCTTGTTGCACAATGCTGTGAATTTAAACCATAATGGAGTATGCTGATTAGAGAGACAAGCTTAGATATTACCTCCTCACCCACGTTGTCACTCTAATATCCTGGGATCGACATGGCTACAACTACACTATACACAGTGTACAGATTGACAGGGAAAGTTACTCTGGTCTTCACTGTATGGGAAACATTGTTATATATTATTCTGAATGAATATCACTGTAAGGATCTGAAAATAGTGGGACGAGAAGACAGTTGTACCAATCACAGTTGCTTGAATAAAGTAGTATGTACTTCTGTGAAAGAAACCAGATTCTTTGCACCAATATGAATTACATTTTTGAAAGGGACTTTTTGGAAACTTTTTGCTGGCAAGCTTCAGGCATCTGAGAAGGGTGGGGCTTGTTTGCCACTTACTTCTAGAGGCCACTAGCTTTGCCAACCACCTGAGCAGAATTCTAGGAGCATGCAAGCTATGTGTCCTCAGACTCCCTGGATTCTACAGTAAGTGGTTTGGCCCGCACCTTCTTCCCAGGACACTAGACAGGTCCCTTCAGTATGTGTCTGGTCTTCAATGACCTAGGAAATAGGCATCTCCAAAGTTCCCCTCTATGCCTGGGTATTAATCAGTGTGACTTTTGAAAATTGACAAGTTGCACCATTTTATTGCCGCTGATCTTTTCGCCCCTCTAGATATGGGTGCAAACCCTAAATCCAAATATTCCTGAACTTGTATCCAGATCTGAACTTTGTCATTGGCTGCCTTTCTCTATAAAGCACTGAAAGTCCTGGATCCAAACTCCTCTCAACTTTGGGAGAGTTTGGAGCCATGTCTGATCTATGTGGTTTGAGCCCACTCTTACTATTTATATCTTTGACTGTCAGAAAAAAACAATTTCTATTGTGTCCTGTGGCACCCTCTGTTGCTTTTTACAGATTCAGACTAACACGGCTACCCCTCTGATACTTGTGTAGGTGAAGTGTACCTGACATCCAAGTGCTGCCCGAAGGAACCCCAGAACAGTTGGAGAAGCAGGGGCAGCTCCTGTTACAATCATCCTAACACACCCACCAAGGCTTGCCTGTTAGATAATAAAAGAAAATAAAACTTTTAGCATCCCATATGAGCATACACATTCAATCACATCTTGAAAGGAAAAGCACTAACTGCATATAACTGAAGTAGCCCAAAAGAAACAGCCCTTCTTCCATTAGAAAATTATAATCAGCACCATAGGAGCCGCATCATGGACCAGGAACCCATTGTACTAGGCATTGTACAAACAGAACAAAAAGTCCATGTGCTTTGGCTAGTCCCTGTTCATATAAATTCCATAGTTTTCCTTAAGATTATTACACACAGTCTTAGATTCCAGTCCTGCAACTGACTCTGCATGGGCAGACCTTTCTGCCCAAATAGAGCCCCTTCGAAGTCAACACTGCCTGGCACAGATGCATGGGTGTGCCTGCATGGAATCATAGAAATGTAGGGCTGGAAGGGACCCAAGAAGTCATCTAGTCCATCTTTCCATCCTGAGGCAGGCATGAATCCATCTGGCTCTATAGGACTTCATGGTTAGGACAAAAAAAAAAAATCATCACCCTAATGTCCTGCCTCCATTCTTTTCCTGCTCATTTTCATCCCATTGCTTTGGTAATTCCTCCCTGAACAACCCCAAACAATTCTGCCTCCTTTTTAAGGTTGATGTCCTTCAAGTATCTGTAGATGATATCACATCAACCCCTTTGTCACCTTTCAGCGATGCTGTAAGTCAAAAAAAGGAAGACAAAGAATTTCTTGTAATTTTTAGACTTTGAGGTTAGAAGGTCATGGTCACAGATCCTGAATCAATGCAGAGCCAGATTTGCCTTACATCTGTGAAGGACACATGCCTAGTCTGCATCATTTAAACTCTTATCTTTGCAGACTGAGGGTAAGCAGTTCACAAATGAAAGGAGCGATCAGTTTCGCTGGCTAAACATAAAGTGACATGTCACTGGATAAGTCATCCAATTAAGAAAAGTAATTAACCAGAGCTTGCTGGAGTGATACAGCATATCAGTGATTTAGTTGACCTAGGAATGCTTTACTGAGGGACTCTGTGGCAAATAGCAGGACCATTCAGATTGCACCCAACAGGCCCTCAAATCCTTTCCCTTTTGTTCAATTGCATGTTAAATGCACAGGCTTTCCTTTATGGCCTTGTATGCTTTTTCCTAGGGGGGAAAATGGTTTGGGATATGTACTGACTAAGGCCCTAATTCAAAAGCTACTGAAATCAATGGGAACCTTTCAGTGGACTTTGGAACAGGCCTAAATGTCTTCAGCAAAAATACTCCCCCCCCCCCTTTCTCTTTTTATCTTCCCCATCAAACACAATTTTATTTGATTAATAGACCAAATTCACAGGAGCAAGACCCTGTAAACCTGAGAGAGGCTGGATGATTAAGGAGGCAGGAAGCCCCAAAGAAAATAAGTTTGTTAAACCCATTTGTGTGTGAGTTTAGCTACTATTTTTGAGCCATTCCTTCTTTCATGCCCAGTATTTTATTCATTGTTCTATAGTGGTCCACCTAGGACATTTAGATATATGAAGTATGTATTGAATTTCAATATAAAGCTAAATTTGTGGGTGAAATTCTCTGCTGGCTTAACTCCTGTGGAGCAGAGAGTTTGGCCCTTATGCCTGATACCTAATAATACATAGAAATTTGCTCAGATTCCTGAGGTTTTAAATGAAACAGCAAAGTGTTCTGCTGCCTCTTCACCATCTTGGATTTCATGTTATGCACCCCCTTAAATCCATAAAACAGTGCTTAAGCAATACTTCAGTGATGCCTATACCTTGTGCTGACCCTCAGCACAGGGATGGATTGCACCCAAGTACCCAAAGTGAATAGCAAAAATAAGCAGATTAAACAAATGTTTCTATTAAAAGAGAAATAAAAATGGTGCTCTCTCCTCTCTAGGTTCCTTTTTTCAATTCCACTGTTTCTAAATCAGCCAAGCTGACTTCACTGATTATTTCTTGAGCAACAGCTATACAGTCACTTTCCCCAAGTTCTTACCTGGATTTTATTAAAAAATAGTTTATCCCACAAACTGTCATTTCTAATGATTCCACTTTGAACTTCAGCCTTTTTACGCTTTGCAGCAAATTCCAGAAGCCAACGTTTCAATGGAGTATCTGCTTGGCTAAAGATCTAAGAGAATGCAGGATGACATGAAAGATTACACAGCTAAGAAAGAAAACAGAGTGTATTAATATCCTTATGATAACAGTCACAGGATCAGATTTCAGGGGGTAGCCGTGTTAGTCTGTATCCACAAAAACAACAAGGAGTCCGGTGGCACCCTAAAGACTAATGGTGCCCTAATACCCTAATGGTGCATATAATTTCACTCCATGCATCTGAAGAAGTGAGGTTTTTTTACCCACGAAAGCTTAGGATCAGATTTATCACTGGGCAAAGCAGACACCATTCTAATGAGGTCAATGAAGTTACTGTTATGTTAGCAGTATAATTAAGACCACTACGCTACAGTTGTAGGTGTACAAATTATGTTTTGTTGCAATCTATTCTGAAATATACTTACTTTTCCCTTAGACAAAAGAGGGGAGAAGTCAAGAGAATAGAGGCATTGACTACATTTATATGATCAGTGTTTCCTGTATGATTTCTATTATATGCACCATTAGGTGAAACTATGATAAAGTTCTAAGGTTGAGCAACTTGAATTAGAATATTTGGCAGCTAGCACAAATATTGCTATTTGTTGAGGTGATGATGGCCATCTTTATCTATGTTTTAAAAGAGAGCAACCCGAACCGGCTCTCCGTATCAGTACCCCCTAGTATCTGTCTCAATAAATGAGGAACCAGATCCAAACAGACCTGAACTTGCAGAAAGTTTACATCAGTAGTTTGTGCCTTTAGATCCCTCTCTTACTTTTAGGATAAATACTCTACACATACTGAACATGGCTACTAAATATGCTATCCTCTTAAATATCTTCCATGGAGTTCTCACATGACCTTCTCTTAGTATGAAGGATTTTTAACCACTAAGTCAGCCTTGAGCTTTCAATATTTAAGCCCTTTTAAGACTGCTCAGCATATCTCTCCTGTCACTGCCAGCAGTGAGTGAGGACCAAGCTCCAGCACTGGCTCAAAAGCAGAGAAAGCATTAGCACATCCCAGTTTGATTCATGCTTCTCTTGGCCTCAGATCCTGTACCACTGAAATCACTGGGAATGTCACTACTGACTGTAGTGGAAGCAGGAACAGGACCTACATGCACAGAAATTCACTTTAACACACAATGGGCCAGGGTCCTCAATTGGTATAAGCTGATATAACTCCATTGACTTCAGAAAGGCTATTCAGATTTACACCAGCTAAGGATCTGGTCTAATGTATTTGCAGTGAGGCAAAAAGTCTATGAGAAAGTTAGTGAAACAGGCCAAACCTAAGGGAAGTCTCTAAGTTAACTACTAGACAATTATTGACTTCATTACTACAAACAGAATAAATGAAACTTACCTTATCATACATTCTATTTAATAATCGTGGTACAACAGGGAAAATGGTTGGACGCAGTGCTTTCATATCATCCGATAAGAGACGGATATCTCCTTGAAAGAATCCAATTCGCCCCCCATGGCAATATACGACAGACTGTGATGGGTGGGGGGGGAAACAGACTACTTATTTCCTTGCATTTAATCACTGTGGCAAAGCACCCCCATCCCTGTTTTAAAGACGCATTCCTGAAATTTTATTTACCATTGTGGCTAATGGGTTTTTTAAAAAACAACTAAACCACTTAATAAATTGGGTAGAAACACACTGACTTTGTATGGACTTTGATCATAGATCCTTTACTTGGCATTCATGTTTAGAAAACAAAATTTAGTACAATTTGTGGGAGAAAAAGGAATCAAAGCTGAAAGGTGCAATTTTCAAAAGCACTTGAATAACCTAGGAACACAAAGTCCCACTGAACTCAATGGGGCTTGTGCTCTTAAGCCACTTTTGAAATTCCCTCCCTAAGTTCCTAATTTCTGCTTTTTTATTTTTACCATATGACTCATTATGCAACTTTTCTGACTCCACAATTAAATCTGTTGTCATGTAATCAGATTGCACAGTTCTCTTACATGGTCACTCCAGGACTACTGTATCAGACTGGGGGCAAACTGTCTTGCAGTGGAGCATACTTCAGAGATAGCTCTTTGCATGGCTGTGGGGTTACACTGGATTCTGGCAAGACTGAAGTGACCAGCCTGGGATTCCATGTTCATGTTCCATGTTCTGTTGGACACCATTTTCTTTAGACTCACCTTTGATTGTGGGGACTAGGAAAAATTTAGTCTTTCGTCTATAATTCCTCATGAAATCTCTATGCTAGCCCTTTTGTGGTTAACAGAGGTTTCTTCATGTCTTTTTATGTCTTCTGAGACAAGGGGTGAAAGTAACTTAAAGGACTTACCGGTACGCTGGAGTCCTGAGCAGGGGGTGGGGCCTCAACCGGAAGAGGCATGGTCTAAATCGGAAGAGGCGAGGCCTTCAAATCCCCGGGCACTTTAAATCAAGATTTAAGGGGTCCGGGGCTCTGGCTGCGATAGCGGCGGCTGGGAGCCCCAGGCCCTTTAAATCACCCCTGGAGCTACCAGCTGCAGAGGCAGCTGGGAGCCCTGGGGCTAGGGGGCGATTTAAAGGTCCTGGGGCTCCAGGTGTCACTACCGCAGCGGAGCCCTGGGCCCTTTAAATCGCCGACGGAGCCCCAGGGGCTCCCGGCTGCTGTCGCTACCCTGGGCTTGGGGCTCTGGCGGAGATTTAAAGGGCCCGGGGCTCCGCTGCGATAGCGGTGGCCAGGAGTCCCTGGCCCTTTAAATCACCATCAGAGCCCCACTGCCGCTACCCCAGGGCTCCAGCAGCGGGTGATTTAAAGGGCCGCTTCCGGGAGCCCCAGGCCCTTTAAATCGCCAGCCTGGGGAAGCCGGTCTAGTCCGGTACGGCATACCAGCTTATTTTCACCTCTCTCTGAGACTATCTTCATGCAGCTGTTAGAACATCCTATAACCCAATATGCATTTCCTTTGAGGAGAGGATGTACCTGTTGTTAACCCAATGACAAATGGGAGATCCAAGTGTGATTCCCAGCACATGGACATGCATTCCACTGTTGCTGAGGCTGGGAGCACTGTGAAGGTATCTACTCAGCCCTGGGACACAAGCATTAAGCCAGTTTTGAGCCTTCTGGCCTACAAAAGATTCCTTGTCTGGGTGCAATGTGGAGCCATTCGGGGGGGGGAGGGAGTTTCAGGTAGTGAGCAAAGAGAGAAAAATAATCTGAGCTCCCAGTCTGTGTCACATACCATATACACGGTTATTTGCACACTCTTATTTTGGTGAAAAGAAGCATTCCTTTGTGAAAAGCCTTAGAGCATATTTAAAATGAAATTACTGGCTAGCAATAAAGGATATTCTGAGTCAAGTGTGGAGAGTTAATTCTTAACTCCCCCTGTACATTTTAGGCATTGCAAAAAATGCAATATCTAATATCAGAGCCCTGCAGTATTTAGGTATCAGTGAGTGACCAGTTTTATTTATCTCTGAAATTGCTCAATTTTTGTTGGCATGGAGGGGAAATTTTCAGGACACAAAGGACAGTAAGGAACAGGCACTCAACTCCCATTGGAAGTCATGGGCAGTTGACCACCTAACTCTCTTATGTACCTGTGAAAAATCTTCCCCCATCTTAAATCTTACATTTCCAAAGCCATGAGGGAGTAGCCATATAACTCCTACTGAGTTACTGGGATTTATGCAGCTACACCACATTTAAGAGCTCTGCGTAAGCTTGTCTCTCATCAGCATAACTTGGTTCAATCAAAGATATTACCTCACCCACCTTGTCTCTCTAACATCCTGAGACGAGCACGGCTACAACAACATGGTTAATACTTACTCTCCAGGTACTGACTATAAAACCATAGGAATTTAAATCAATAGAAGCTTGTGGGTTTAAGAAATATCACCCTGTCAAATCCACATACTGTACTTCACATGTGCAGCAGGTTCCTGGCTAAATAATTAAAGATCCATATGGAAAAAAATAGTCACTGTATATGCACAGAGAGCACTTTAAAAAATTAAGTAGTTGAGATACTGAGGTTTAAAGAGTAATCCCAGGAGCCTGCAGGTTTCTTAACATGGCGAAAAGTAATTTAAGTCTGGTATAGCTGTTATTAGAGTTAGGCCCAAAGCAGAACTCCAAATCTAAAATCCCACCCAAAAAAAAAACAAAAAACCCCACACACTTTGGGAAAGCTTGGGTTCAGATTCTGATTAAAAAAAAAAAAACACATGGTGTCAGCTCAAATCTGACCACAGACTCCAAGCCCCCACTAAATTTTGGGAAATTTGAGTCAGAACTGAATCCAGATCCAAACTTCACAGTTCTGGCCAATCTCTAGTTCATGGATTTTCAGACCGGCAGTTTTCATCTGCCTTATTTGGAAAGAAAGTGAAGTCACTTATATGGGCTAGCATGAGTCAGTACTTCTACTTGTCATTATTTCCAAGAGACGATGGCTTCCACTTATTGTGCTTTATACACTGATCTGCCAGGAAGACTGCATGTGTCACCACTGTGGGGGTTTTTCCTGCTTTTCAGTTTCTGCAAATCTGATTTATTGACACCATAAAAAGTGTGGAGTTGATAAAGAATACATGCAATATTATTTTAACCACCATGATTGCTGGTCCTATAATACTTTGAAAAGCTGCCCCCCCCCCCAAAAAAATAATAGATATCTTTTGCCCCAAAAAGATAATTATTTCTGCACATGTGCCATTTTCTGATCTCAGTTACACTCCAGAGACGCTATTGGAGTTCCCTCAGATTTACCTGTGCAAATGAGATCAGAATCTGCACCCTGGAGCTGCACCCATGACACTTTTGGAGTACAATCTGTTTTAGCTCTACAGTATATTGTGGAGTATTTTGCCATGTTTACCATTTTACTTAGTTATTTTTTAGTGTGGAAACAGGACTTCCACAGACACCATGACCTTACCTGTACCATTCTCTCAAACATGTGTGCTAAAGGCAAATAGGAAATGTGTACATCCTCACAAGTAGGAGCCCACTGACTCTGGAAGAAAACACAAGGAGCCCCACAAGGCCTAGTCAGTTCAGACAGGTTTCTTACCTGTATAACTCTTTCAAACATGTGAGCCAGAGGCAGGAAGGAGATGAGCACATCGTCCTGTCTCGGAAAGATCACTTTCTGCAGGTGAAGGGCATGGGAGACAGAAAGGAAAGAAACACTGACAGGAAGACAACAAGAGAGTCATAAAACAATAAAAAGAAAAATGGCACCAGAGGAGCAAAAGAGTAAAGATTATCAAGAAAGAGAGAGAGAGAGCGAGCAGCATACGAAGCGAAGCGTTAGGCCACAACGTCAATGAAGCTAAGTTAGCAGGAGTAGGAAAGAGCGCAAGGATGTACATAGAGAGCAATGGAGAACTCTCCCCGCTGCAAGAGTGTATTTATCAAGAAACTCTGCAGCTCATACGGCAAACAGGTGCTGACACCGAGGAACCAAATTTTCCTGCATAGGCTTTTAAAGTGAGGTGACCAAATAAAGATTTGCACACTCAAATTGGCATTTGCCTCAAAATGGGTGTCTGGGCATTTCAAGCGCCGAGATTCAGGATTTGACTATTATGGCACGGTGTTCAGCTGCACTGAGTACACACTCACACTTGCACTCAGCCTCAGTGCAGCTGAGGTAGGGAGGAGCTCTGTCAATACTGGGACTGGCCAGGGGCCAAAATGGCCTCCAACGTAAGTTTGAATGGTGCCCCATGGCTGCTCTCCCGGCTGGGGATTGGTGGAATACATTCTGTTCTATCTCCAACTTTCTTTTGCTCCTGGAATACCTCTTTCTTCATCCAGCCGACCCTGACATGCCCCTGAACCAAGGGTTAGCAGGGGGGTTGCATAAAGCTGGCCACCCCAGCTTTACACTAGCCCAGCATTCCTCCATCTTGGTGGGATCTTCAAGATGTTCCATTAGGGCAGCTTTAAAGTTGCTTTGTGCCACTCTGCCAGTGTGGAGTGAGCTTAACACAGCTAACAGTCTGGCACCTAGCCATGATGTCTAGGTTTGAAGATTTGGGTTTATTAAGCAGAAAATTTGTATCAAAAGTTTAATCCTGCACAGAGATGGGTACTTTCCTCCTAATTACAACCCTGATCCTGCAACTGGATTCAACAAATGGCCCCTCTGGCCCATGTGCATCCCCACGGAAGTCAGTGGAGCTCTGCAGAGGCACAAGAATCACCTGTGCAGATCCAAGTGTAGATTCAGACCATTAGGTTGAAAGATGCAGGATTTTTTGTGGAGGTTAATTATTGATTTTAGTCAGAATAATATGTTGGATTATTGAGCTGCAAAATATTAATTCTTTTTGGTTAGTGTTTCTTCCAATTTTAAGCATCTACATTATTGGTGCTCCAGAGACAGATGTGGGGGAAGAAAGAGGCTGAATAAATTATAAAAAGAAAAAAAAAACCTGGTTTGCTAAGATTTCTTATTTTGTCTTATTGGGCTGGAATTTAACAAAGGCCCTTAGCCTTACATATTTCATCCATCAGAAGGAAAGCTAAAAAAGAAAAAAAGTAACTTCTCTACATAAAAGAGTTTCCCAAGGTGTAGGGATAGCCATATTATAGTGATTACAGAAACTGATGGCTTGATTATATCCATTACGCTGCACCTTGTACACCAGTGCAAAGGGGGTTTAAAACCCTGCTCAATCAGAATGGTATCATTTCACATCCACTTTGCACTCCCATTACTCTGCTGTATCTGTCAAAATAATGGAGTATAATAGAAGCCCCTGAGTTGCTTTCCCATGGAAAGGAATATTGAGATTGACTCTCTTTTGGGCATGTTTTCCTGTCATCTCCTGAGATCAGATGAGATAAGAATTTAGTGTTTTCAGTGTCTTGTTTCACCTGTAGTTTTATATAGCAGTCTGAATATTCTTGTGTACAGGAGACTAAGGTACTGAGATCTGCCAGTCTACCTGCAAGTGTCTCTTCAAACTGGTCTCCTTATCCATAGGTACAACTGCGAAAAACCAGTCTCACCACTGGAGAAAAAGTCATATTTTTCCAGTTTTGCTAAAAAGGAAATATTGTGCCTTTGATGCAATATTTTTCTATTTTTTCCAAAAAATGAAAATCTTTGTTTTTTCTCCCCAAAACCAGCAATTGGACAAATATTTTTTGGAAAAAAAAAATTCAGTTCATTTTTATACCGCAGCCAATGGGAGCTGCGGGGGGCGGTGCCTGCACGCGAAGGCAGCGCCTAACTCTAGGTGCTGAGGAAGATGTTGCCACTTCTATGGAGCCCCCCAAACTAAGCGCCGCCCGGAGCCCGCACCCCCTTCTGCATTCCAACCCCCTGCTCCAGCCTAGAGCTCCCTCCCAGAGCTCGCACCCCACATACTCTCCCACAACCCTGCCCCAGCCTTGAGCCCCTCCCGGCACCCAAACTCCATCCTGGAGCCCGCACCCCCTCCCACATCCCTGCCCCAGCCCTGAGCCCCCTCCGGCAGCCAAACTCCCTCTCGGAGGCTGCTCCCCCTCCTGCAACTTGAACTCCTCGTTTCTGACCTCACCCCAGAACCCGCACCCCCAGCACAGAGCCCATACCCCCTCCCACATCCCAACCCCCGCCTCAGCCCGGAGCCCCTTTCCACACTCCGAACCCCTCGGCTATACCCCTCACCCCAGAGCCTGCACCCCAACCCCCTGCCCCAGCCTGGAGCCCCCTCCCACACCCTGAACCCCTCATTTCTAGCCCCACCCCAAAGTCTGCACCCCCAGCCGGAGCCCTTGCCCCCTCCTGCACACCAATCCCCTACCCCAGCCTGGTAAAAATGAGCAAGAGAGTGAGGGTGGGGGAAAGCGAGCGACAGAGGGAGGGGGGATGGAGTGAGTGGGGGTGGGGCCTCAGAGAAGGGGCGAGGCAGGGGCATGGCAACGGTGTTTGGTTTTGTGCGATTAGAAAGTTGGCAACTCTATTAATGGCAGTCTTAGGTCTTGAGCCAATACCCTTTGAAATCAATGGAAAAAATCCTATTTCCTGCAATGGACATTGGATCAGGCTTTTGGGGCTTGATTCTGCAAAATTCTGAGTAGCCTCAAACTCCCTTGAAGTTGAGGGTGCTCAGCATCTTGCAGGGTCAAGCTCTTAGTGTTTACTACTGTGAACTGTCCCATTGACACTTTATGGTGATCACTAATGAGGCCCCAATCCTGCAGACACTTAAACAAGTTCAATGGGATTACTCTCCTCACATGCATGAGTATTTGCAGGATTGGGACCTACACCAGGGAACCTTTACAGAGTCAAGCCCGAAAACAGGAATATTTACAGCATTGGCCCAGGAATAGATATCAGATTTATTTTGATAAGGTGAGTGTGTTATCAGTACATTGTTTCTTTAACTGTAATGGTTCAGCCAATGGTCCTTTCACTGTGTACCAGTAGATTTTTTCCATCACTTAAGTATTAGCAGTCTATTAACATGATTAATTTGTGCTTCAGCAATGCTGTTTCCCATACAGGAAGTATGGTCTCCAAATGCATGTTTATACATTGTTTTAAATGTACTTCACATATAAAAACTGGCCAGTTTTCTATTTTAAAAAAATTATGTTACACAGTGTCACATATATCATATTGAAAATACAGGATGTAACAAGGTGTGTTTTAATATAAATAAAATGATTTTTGTAATATTTTAAATATGTTGCATAGGCTATCATATACTTTATATACACTGTGTGCAGAATGATGGCTATCAAACGAATAATGGACATGTTGGAAATTAATTTTCTCTAGGGGGTTGGTTTATTGTATGGGCATCACTGGGAAGCTTGTAGTCATTTTTTTAAGTTCTAAACACCAGTCATAATTTTACTGGGTTCTTTGGCCTTCACCAGGGACCCAGTACTGCAAGATCAACTCATTGACTTAATGAGAGTTGAGGGTGCTCCCCAAAAGGATTCAGTATCTTGCAGGAGCAGGACCCAAATGCATGTGCTGTAGTAGGGGAAACCTACTGTCATTCACCACTAAGGGCTTAACCTTGCTCCCATTTCAATGACTTGGGCCCCAAGAGTGAGATTTCACTTATCTCCTTGAGCATATTTCCACATCTTGGATAGATTTGAAATAAGCCAAAAATTCAAACTGAAAAAGTCACAGTATGCGGTAACACTCTCTAGATCGGGGTATTCACCTCTGTCACTTTCAGAAAGCCCGAAAAATCAGCAACCACGTTTCTGTGAGTCAGCATAGCACCTTTGGGGTTCCCTGAAAAGAAAAAGAAAAAAGAAACAGCACAGCATTAATAAAAGACCCTGTAGTAAATTTTCAAAGGCTTCTAAGACCTGGAGATGTTAAAATTCTTTTCAATGTCCCTTCCTGAATTCTAAAATAGCAATTTTCACAAATGAGTTGTTTCTATGCAATAAAATATACAAAGACATTTTAACTGTTTCAATATAAACACACAGAAGACCAATAGTATGATTTTATTGCCCATTCTCTGGGCCAGATAGTGTGAATCAGCCATTGAATCAGAGGATTTAAGAATGATGTGCAACTTTTTATAAAGTATTACTGTAAAATGAGCATAGCATGTTTTAACTGAAGGTTTTCTTCTCTGTTTGCAGCTACTCAAGATACCATTTAACACAGAGACCAGTCACCTTGATTTTGGCTAAGAAAGAGCTCTAGAACTATTGTACTTAACTTGAAGGTTTCTTTGCCAGATCACTGATATTACCATCACTGACTTTTTATTCTGAGTTTTGGCTTCTTCATGTCCACTTGAATAATGTTTCTGATGTTCACACCTCTCAATACACCGAGGTGTGGAGATTACTGGGTGACACACATGGCCACAAGGCCATTGATAAAACTGCAGCACTCTTACCCATGGGCAAATAGAACACAGTCAGCACAGCACATTAAATACTTCTGAGCATGTAAATAATAGAAAATACCTAGCATCGATCCGTTCTCAGGACCATGGTCAGGAGGAGTAGAAGGACTCCTGACCTTGCAGTGCTAGTGACTAGGACTTGACATATCTTCCTTTGCCTCAGCACCAACCCTCTTCCTCACTCTTAAAAGGGACTAGTCACAGAGTAAGTTGCTAGTCAGTGTGAGAACAATTGGCAGAAGTGGGCCCTATTCCCCCCCCCCCCCCCATAAATGGCAAGTAGATTAGTTTTAAAATCAGACTGAGCCACTGTACTGTAGTTCCTAGGACTAGCTGGGTGGAACTGGCTCTCAAAGAAGCCTTCCTTCTTTAATGTAAAGTAGATGGAGCTGTTTGTCATATGACAGGTGCATAATGAATCAAACCATGCCCTGTGGAATCCCACTGAATTCAATGGGCCTGCCCAAACAGTACGTCCAGGCAGAATTTGCCCCCTGGATAAACTAATCATGCCCCTGGAATTTGGAAGGGGTCACAGTGGCTTGGGGGTTAATGTAGAAGGCTATCTTTTAGGGTCTGAGGTTCAATTCCTCTTCAGTTCACAAACTTTGCAGGTACCATGCCAGTCCCTCTGTGGATACTGCTTCAGATCACAAAGACCCTGCTCAGGTCAGCACTATCAGCAGTTACTGCCCAGGAACAGCAGGAGTGTTGAGTTCAGTTAGCAGAGCCGCATGGGCAAGACTGCACAATGCGTGTTCTCTTAGTTCTCCCTTCATTGCATGAACACCAAATTCATCCAACTTTCAGACTAATTAAGTGAACCCTGAACACAAACATTTGCCACTGCACATATTTATTGGAATGAACAGAACATTTATAACATATAGAGTATTTTAGAACATGTCTTTAGAACATAAGAACGGCCGTACTGGGTCACACCAAAGGTCCATCCAGTATCCTGTCTACCGACAGTGGCCAATGCCAGGTGCCCCAGAGGGCATGATCCTAACAAGTAATGATCAAATAATCTCTCTCCTGCCATCCATCTCCACCCTCTGACAAACAGAGGCTAGGGACACTATTCCTTACCCATCTGGCTAATAGCCATTAATGGACTTAAATAGATAAATTCATGGAGGTTCTCTTTTAAACCCTGTTACAGTCCTAGCTTTCACAACCTCCTCAGGCAAGGAGTTCCACAGGTTGACAAAAAGAGAATTCTGTGAGCCAAGCTAAAAAATAGATGTGCACAGGAGACCAAGAAATTTCTTATCTTTTATTGTGAGTCTTGCCAAAAAAAATTCTCAAATCAGCCTGTACAATTCAGAGGGTAGCAGTACTTCTACAGAGTTGACTTCAGGAGCAACTTGTGAATGCACCAGTCCACTCATCCATTTCTCATTCAGACCAGCAAAAGAAAGCTGCCCCTGTGAATTTTTCTTCAAAACAATGATTGGATATTCTTCCTTAGTTTGTTTACCTCACTGAAATGCATCCTAGATTATATACCCCCAACTATATCAATTAAGGGTTTTTCTTTCAGTAACCAGCGATAAATCTTCAGACATCCTGGGAAACGAGATGGATTCTTAGTTTCTTTCAACACTTGAATTCATTTATTCGGTCTCTGAAGATTTTCATTGCATATTCAGATGATCCAGAACATCTTCCAGGGTTCTTCAAACCATCATTATCATAGATTCATAGAATATCAGGGTTGGAAGGGACCTCAGGAGGTCATCTAGTCCAACCCCCTGCTCAAAGCAGGACCAATTCCCAACTAAATCATCCCAGCCAGGGCTTTGTCAAGACTGACCTTAAAAACTTCTAAGAAAGGAGATTCCACCACCTCCCTAGGTAACCCATTCCAGTGCTTCACCACCCTCCTAATGAAAACGTTTTTCCTAATATCCAACCTAAACTTCCCCAACTGCAACTTGAGACCATTACTCCTTGTTCTGTCATCAGGTACCACTGAGAACAGTCTAGATCCATCCTCTTTGGAACCCCCTTTCAGGTAGTTGAAAGCAGCTATCAAATCCCCCCTCATTCTTCTCTTCTGCAGACTAAACAATCTCAGTTCCCTCAGCCTCTCCTCATAAGTCATGTGCTCCAGTCCCCTAATCATTTTTGTTGCCCTCCGCTGGACTCTTTACAATTTTTCCACATCCTTCTTGTAGTGTGGGGCCCAAAACTGGACACAGTACTCCAGATGAGGCCTCACCAATGTCGAATAGAGGGGAACGATCACGTCCCTCGATCTGCTGGCAATGCCCCTACTTATACAGCCCAAAATGCCGTTAGCCTTCTTGGCAACAAGGGCACACTGTTGACTCATATCCAGCTTCTCGTCCACTGTAACCCCTAGGTCCTTTTCTGCAGAACTGCTTCCTAGCCATTCGGTCCCTAGTCTGTAACAGTGCATGGGATTCTTCCGTCCTAAGTGCAGGACTCTGCACTTGTCCTTGTTGAACTTCATCAGGTTTCTTTTGGCCCAATCTTCTAATTTGTCTAGGTCCCTCTGTATCCTATCCCTACCCTCCAGCACATCTACCACTCCTCCCAGTTTAGTGTCATCTGCAAACTTGCTGAGAGTGCAGTCCACGCCATCCTCCAAATCATTAATGAAGATATTAAACAAAACCGGCCCCAGGACCGACCCCTGGGGCACTCCACTTGAAACCGGCTGCCAACTAGACATGGAGCCGTTGATCACTACCAGTTGAGCCCGACGATCTAGACAGCTTTCTATCCACCTTATAGTCCATTCATCCAGCCCATACTTCTTTAACTTGCTGGCAAGAATACTGTGGGAGACTGTATCAAAAGCTTTGCTAAAGTCAAGGAATAACACATCCACTGCTTTCCCCTCATCCAGAGAGTCAGTTATCTCCTCATAGAAGGCAATTAGGTTAGTCAGGCATTACTTGCCCTTGGTGAATCCATGCTGACTGTTCCTGATCACTTTCCTCTCCTCTAAGTGCTTCAGAATTGATTCCTTGAGGACCTGCTCCATGATTTTTCCAGGGACTGAGGTGAGGCTGACTGGCCTGTAATTCCCCGGATCCTCCTTCTTCCCTTTTTTAAAGATGGGCATTACATTAGCCTTTTTCCAGTCATCCGGGACCTCCCCCAATCGCCATGAGTTTTCAAAGATAATGGCCAATGGCTCTGCAATCACATCTGCCAACTCCTTTAGCACCCTCGGATGCAGCGCATCCGGCCCCATGGACTTGTGCTCATCCAGTTTTTCTAAATAGTCCCGAACCACTTCTTTCTCCACAGAGGGCTGGTCACCTTCTCCCCATACTGTGCTGCTCAGTGCAGCAGTCTGGGAGCTGACCTTGTTCGTGAAGACAGAGGCAAAAAAAGCATTGAGTACATTAGCTTTTTCCACATCCTCTGTCACTAGGTTGCCTCCCTCATTCAGTAAGGGGCCCACACTTACTCATCACCATTTGATTGCAAGTAGGAAATTCTGAAAATATATCCCTTCCTTCCTCTCCCTTTTTCTATATGAATAACAGCTGAATTCAGTGTCCCACAGCATTTGTGACTCTAAACACATCAGAGCAGAGCACCAGTTTTCATAACTTTCATCACCAGAAACCTCATCAAGAAAAATTCCAGAACAAACAATGCTGCAGATTTGATTTTGATCTAGCTACATGTGCCACAATGGTGATCACAGCGTGTGTGACCCTTTTTTAGTACATGGAACTATTTGACAGACTGTCTAGGCGAACAGAGTTCACTTTGCTACAAGTCCTTCCCCAGAGCCCATCCTGGATGGAACAGCAGCATATTAGTGATATAGCTTGTTTTTCCCTTTCTTTTAAATCATTAAAGTATCCTCTACTTGAATTTGCTTCGCAGAGATAACAGCACAAAATATCCTCAAAATAGCACAAGCACATTGACATAGATGCACAATGGAGGAGTGTCAACAATGGTAAGTGATTCCAGGCAGTTAATCAATAACCAGAGCATGACAGTCTTCAGGTGTCACTTCAGTGAGGAGCTTGTCTGACACTTCTCATATGTAAGAAAGGAATCTTTTCAATGTCACTGAATGCGTCACTGAACGAATGCCATCCAGTGTCATTTCTGAGCCTGTAAATGGCTGCTTATACCAAGTTAGCATCCATGAGTTACTGGTGAATTCTGCAAAAAGAACAGGAGTACTTGTGGCACCTTAGAGACTAACAAATTTATTTGAGCATAAGCTTTCGTGGGCTACAGCCCACTTGATCGGATGCATAGAATGGAACATATAGAAAGAAGATATATATATATATACATACAGAGAACATGAAAAGGTGGAAGTTGTCATACCAACTCTAAGAGGCTAATTAATTAAGATGAGCTATTATCAGCAGCTCATCTTAATTATTATTATTAAGCTCATCTTAATTAATTAGCCTCTTAGAGTTGATATGGCAACTTCCACCTTTTCATGTTCTCTGTATGTATGTATATATATATATATCTTCTTACTATTCTATGCATCCGATGAAGTGGGCCCACAAAAGCTTATGCTCAAAGGTGCCACAAGTACTCCTGTTCTTTTTGCGGATACAGACTAACACGGCTGCTACTCTGAAACCTGGTGAATTCTGCTGAACCATGGAAAGCCTTCATCAACATCCAATTGGCTCTGCTGGAGATTAATCTTCCAAGGAAACCTGTCACTGGTCTGTACTTGAAAAACTGAAGGATGTTTTTTCAGAGCAGTCAGTACACACAGATGCATAACAATGTTTCATGTACATTTCCACTCTTAGCAACCACCATTGCCTCATGCTCATTTAGGAGTTGTGTTGACAATCAGTTAAAAAAAAATGAAGGTGAGTCCAAACATCTCAGAGTCAACCTCTCTCTTCCCTCTGTTAAGGCATTTTGTATGTCTGATCCTATGAATCACATACAAAAGTTAAAATCCACTCCTGAGTTTACTAATAAACAGCCAAAAATAAATATAAATTTGCAAGTTATCAAACCCAAATTTTCATTATAGAATTCAAGTCATAATAGATACTTCCAAAGCTTTAACCTACTGACCCTGGCTCCATTTCAAAATAATTCTAAATGTGGTAATTCAAAATAAATGAATATGGGGCCCAATGCAGGCCAGGCACTTTCCACCCCATAGGGTGGTGCACCTTAAAGCTGCAAAAGCCCAGGAGTGTCACTACAACCTCCACAAAAGCCCTCATGCAGATTAACCAGGCAAAGAAACTAGACTTATTCCAGTAGAGGAGGATACATAGGTGATAAGATGGTAGGTACTAAAACACAAGGACCATGCCCCTGGAAGAGCTCTGACTGCAGAGTTTGAAATCTTAGGTTTAGGGGGAGCCAGAAGATGGGCTGTGAACTTCACCTCCTAGCTGTGGTTTTTCAGGCATACTCCTAAGCATAGCCCAAAGCCTGACTCTAGCCCAAGGGCTATGTGAGTTTTCCACAAGTTTTCTTTTCCTTATCTGTCCAGAATAAAGGGCTATTTAGAAAAACAGAACATGCTGAAAGTAGTAAAGAAGAATGAAACTTTAAAGGAAACACTGTCCCTAGATTTTCTAAACATTTTAAAATCCCAAACAAACCAAAAGTGCAGCCAATTTTTGGACAAATTCTTCCCCATAAGAGACCTTTGAGAGCCTCTCTGAGCATGGAGAGGCCACTTTTAGGTCTGTTATTGCCACTTTTAGGTCTGCTATTGAGTGACCAGGGAGATTAACAGACCTAAAAGTGGTAATTCTTCAACAAAAAAACTTCAAAAACAGACTCCAACGTGAAAACAGATACACAGAAGAATGAGGAAAAGAGATACACACACAGAACATTTTCATATACTTGCAAAATCATATTGCCAAAATATATTATTTCAGGAGTTGCAGAAAAATTATTATTTGTATTTTTATACCAGTGTAGTCTAAGTTTTTAATTTGATTATAACTTTATATATGTGTGTATGTATCTCTCTCTCACACACAAGTGTATTTAATAAACATAAAACAAACATAATTGTTCTATATAGGACAGTGCTAGATTGTGTTTATACACGGTGAGCCGTTATTCAGAGTGATTTTGGTAGTCCAATGTAATGCATTAAGATTAAAATGCCTGTTCTGTTACCTGTAGTGCCACTAGTAAAACAGACAATCGACAGATCTTCTGGTCGAGGAGGCTAGAAATACACAAAGAAAACAGGAAAATTAGAGAGTCACAGGTTAGCATCATTAGCCTTTGTGATCACTTCTTTATTGAACCAATCATGTCTCAACCCTGTCATTTCATTTTTTTCCTGGAGCTTGCAAAAACACATCATGTAATTCTTCCCCTAGTACGTTTGTCCATTTGGTCTAGTTTCCTTCTTTTCCCCTAGGTTTAGGTGTGTTAAAGGAGTGTGCTTTAGTGTGACTAGTCCATCATGCAAGATCCTTGCCTACTTATAATATGCTATAATATGCTATATTCCCTAATGAAAGAAAACCACAGCCCTCAAGCTTCTGCATGACAGCTGTTTGAACTACTTGTTTAAGATAATATTTATGCATTTGGCCCCTTTAGTGGTTAGGAAATCATTTGCTAACAGATCCTGATTTTCTTCATCTGTATTTGTTATTCATGAGTGTCTCACATTTGGGATTAATAATATATAGATGATGAGTTGTTTGAAAACAGCTATTTTCTATTTGTTATTCATGTCATGTGTTGGGTCCCCTAAGTCACATGGCATTTTTTCTGGTCCCTAACTGGATGATAAACTTTTTATTAAGAACAACAACAACAAATATTGTTCTAATTTCTGGCTGAATGCTCATTTGTTCTAAAAATTAGGGACATTTTGGAATGTACAGGCATTTTCACGAATACTCACAAGCACCAAATACATGCAAGTAACAAATAATAAGACTGTAGGAAATGAAACTCAGCATTTTTACGTGTAAAATATTTGGAAGTCAGGTTTCTGTCTATTATGCATCTAGCCTTAATCTGACAATGTAGTTCATATGTTTAAATGTTTGGGTGCCTTAGTTTTTGGAAGCCCAGTTTGAGACATCTTGGGCCTACCTGTCACTGCTAAGTGCTGCTATCTGCAATTGAAGTCAGTAAGATCGGTGAGTGCTAAGCAGCTATGAATATCAAGCCCTGTGTGTGTCAAGTTGGGCCACCAAAAAGTAACACACCCAGAATTACAAGCCTCTTTTGAATAATTGGCAGTAAGTGCACCCAGCAGTACCACAGTCATTTGTAGTAAAACCATACCTAATTCAACAGCTTTCAAAATGCTCCCAACTGGTGGTACCGTGGTGCATTTTTCAGTTACAGAAACCCCAACAAGTCTCCAAAGGTGACATAGTGGAGGAATCCACTCATATGCAATGGGTAAGCTTTGCTAATTACCATTTAAATACATTTGACTTAATATTAGAATTTAATCAGGCTACAAACAGCTGGCTCTGCATGGATGACACATGTCATCTTCCACTTGATCAGAAGATAATTCATGACTGTGCCATGGCCACCTATTGTGATTTGTCTTTCCTGGTTATTGTTTTGTTTCCTAAGGAACATTTACTGTGAGTTGACGTGCTATGGAGTTTAAAATTAGACACAGTGTCACCAAGACCATGAAGATGACTTGTGTCAGCACATGAATCCTATTCTGTAATTCTGCAACTGCTGTTTTAGGGTCCAGTCCTACAGTGTATCAAGTTCAATAGGGTAGACCTCTAAAAGAAATTTACATGTATAAGTGTTTGCAAGACCTGTCTCCTTTTTACTCTATGAGAACACGCTCCCCTCCCCCCAACATGAATGAAACAGCTGTAGAACAAACAAAGCCCTTTGATTCCTAGCATGGCTAGTGACAGTATGCGGAGCACTTTAAATGGTAGTATCAGGGAAATAGGGGGTTTCAGTGCAGTCAGGACATGTTTTCCTTGTGGGGAGATTGTCTTGGAAACAAGGACAGGAGGTGAATAAAAGGGAGTTCTGCTACTAGAGATTACATCAGAGTAATAGCTCTTAGTCTGATTTGTAGGACTGAGTGCTCAGGAATCATACAAGAACAAAATAAGGTAGGAAGAGAAAAAGGAAGATAAAAGGATTAGGGGATATAACTAATAAAGGGCTGTGGGTTTTGACCACTAGGCTCTGCTGTAAAAGGCCACTCTCATAAAAGAATGAAAGTTATCCCTTATCCTCAAATACATCACAAGTCTCCTCTGAAATAGAGAGAGGAGGCAATTCACAGATAACAGTAACTTGTCTTTTATAATTACAAGATTTAGAGATGTCCCTATGCAAACCACAAAGACGGAGTTAATGATTTCAGGGCACAGTCCTGTTGTACACACAGGCAAAACCACTGGGAGTTTTGCCTAAGTAAGGATTGAAAGTATGGACCCTTAATGTCCATCACAATTTTTTTAACACCACAAAACTAATACCAGCCCCAGCTGTAATTCTGTTCTTTACTTTAGAACGGAGTAAACGAACATGACAGATTGACCAATCCAAGTCCAGCTCTAAACAGGTGGAAGAATGAAAGGGGCAATGCTAACAAGGAACTGCTGGATTGCATTGTGCACACCTCATAAATAGTCTCTTCTCTAGTGAAAGGTGCTTAGGGTCCAATCCAAACCCAGTGAAGTCAACAGTAGAGTCGCTTGAAATTTTTTCCCTCACAAAAGGTTTTTCCAAAGAGAAAATGCTTTTCAAATGAACCTAGAGTATTCATTTCCAGCCACAAATTTAGCCTGAGGCAGCCACCCGGCCCCAATACTAAACTTATTCCAAACTAGCCAACTGGGATGCACCCTACCTAACCAAAACTAACAAACAAGCCTCAGAGCCAAAGGTAGATTTTGCTGGCCAACACATCTCAACCCTATCATCGCCGGAACCCAACACCAAATGTCTCAACCTCAGCACCTATAACCACCAAAAGCCAGGATGGCCAAAAGGCGCAAACTCTAAAAACAGAATGTCAACCAACCTCAAGCCTAACTCTGGTCAGAAGCCATTACCACACACCATCCCTAGCCCTGCCTAGGGAAAGCAAGAAGGCCCAACCATAATATCCAACCAGACTACTAGCCCCAAACAAGCTTGGATCAAGGTAGCTCACTAAAGATAGCAACATAGCCGTGGTAGCAAGGGCAGGAGCACTGGATAGCAGGCTGAGTACATAACAAGAGACTGTACTTGGATAGTTAGACTGTGCTGCCTAACTTTAGCCCAGGGCCCCCTGGCAGGCCCAGCCCTAGCCTGGGCCTCCCCGCAGGCCTCGACTATTATAGCCTGCCCTCCCATTCCCATCACGCCCAGTCCTACTCAGAGCCCTGTGCTGCCCTACTCCTAATTGTCATCTGGGTCCATGTGCTGGTTCTGACTAGAACCCTCATCTGTGCCCATATATCCAGCCCAGGCCAGCGTTTGAACCTCATTTGTGTAAAGTCAGGCTCCAAAAATCCTGAGATTGGGTTTAAAAATCCTGGGATTATAATTTTAAAAAGAGTGTGGTTTTTATTTGCTGCTGGGGTTTAAACCTTGACGATACACTCAGGACATGTTTTCAAGCTTTTCTCTGCAATCAGAAAGGCTAAAATTTGCTTTTTTTAAAAAAGGAAAATGGAGATTCTTATGAAATAACATCATAATGGGAGCTGCAGGGAGCTGCGGGCCACAGGGACATGCTGGCTGCCGCTTCCTGCGGCTCCCGCTGGCTGGAAACGGCGAACCGCAACCACTGGGAGTTGCGGGGGGCCGTGCCTGCGGGTGGTCGACACAAACAAAATGTCTTGTGGCCCGCCAGCGGATTACCCTGATGGGCCGCGTGCCGAAGATTGCCGACCCCTGGGATAGTAGGTGGGTCCATATTATGATTAGGGTTTGAGTTAGGATTCATGCTGGTTAGCAGGCTGGGGCAAGAGGTAAGGATGGGATCAGTTAGCAGATGTGAACAAGGATTAGAATCGGGGATGGACGGAGCTCTCAAACTAGGGTTAGGGATTGGGTTTGTCTGTGGACCCAGATGAACCTACAGGAATCTAGTCTGAGATGTTTCCTGTTTTTTCTGACTGGCAATCGAGATGTCTTAACTGGAGCCATTAATTATTATTACATTGTTTTTATGCTGCCTTTTTGTTGAATTGTAGCTCATTTGCCTTTCATAAAAGACACTATTAAATTGATGTAGTTTGAAATCTATTCTAAAGTCAGGAATTTTGTTTAGCAGTTTTTTGAAGATGGTTGGTTTAATTTGTCCTACTTATTCTTACACTTAGCATTCACAAAGCTCTTTAAAGAACACTGTAGAATCTCATCCTCTATCGTTCCTTCCTTGGGTTTATGTTCTGAAATTCCATTTAAGGATTCAGGGCATATAATTTATGAAGCAAATAACATACATCTCAGCAAATGAGATCCACACTCAGACCATTAGTGGAAGATAATGGAGCATCTTTAGGATCCTTCATTGTCAGTCACCTCCTACTGAGAAATATACCAGACGCTACATTTAATGAACACACAAACACAGTTCAGGCTTTGTGCACACTCTGGCAAATTATTCTCTTTCATTTGTGAAGTTTGTTTAAAGTAACTACATGCGATTAAAGGTTGGAGAAAAAAAATGATTGGACTCACCACAGGGACATGCTGACTCTCACGGCCACAAGCCTGAAAGAATATTAACAAAATCATTTCCATTCTAACATATGCAGATTAACGTGCTTGTTAATAAACTGCAAATGACCGAGGAAGCTGGAGACAGAAAGGAAGAGAAAGAAGAACAGGAAAATCCTGCCCTGACATCTCTACAGGATCCAGTTTAAAACAAAGTTTAGTTCCAGTAAAACCTCTGAGAAAAATACATAAAACAGAAGAATTGAGCATAAAAGAGAAAAAATAGCTGACCAATGTGCCTACTAATAATAATGTAACTTTATCCATGAGAAGCAGCTTCTTGCTTTAACTGAATATCCATCTCCTGGATTTCATCCAATAATATCTGAGCTGATTATTTCTGAGTCTAACATTAAACAAGAGGGATAGGAACTTCACCTCTACTTCCTGCATGGATTGGACGTGAACACCACATCTTTTCCCTCTTTCCTTTAGGTCCTTCTCAAAAGGGTCCATCAGAATAATAGACTTTAAGCCTGGCGTTTCTCTTTTCTCTACATGATCCAGGAGGATTCTGGCTTTTTCTGGTTTGTCACAGATTACAGTGGAAATATCAGCTAAAAAACAAAAACAAAATAATTTTTTAACTTAAATTTAAAACTAGCTGCAGCTTCACAGTACTCTCTGTGAATCTCTGCTAATCAGTCTTCGACAGTCATTTTATATTTATACCATTAGATCTTGGAATATAATATATATTTTCTTTTAGGAAACAAGTACATTTTAGTATTTAACCCTAGTCACCGTAAATCAACACTGAACAGAGCACACTAATGTATCTGAAATTGAATGAATAGTAAGGCAAATATTTGTTTGCAGCACAACGCGCATCAGACCGACAGCTACAATTATTTTAGGATTCAATTAAAAATACGAAAACTGCAGAAAAAAAATAAACCTGAATGGTATGAAGTGGTTGTTAGAAACTCAAAGCCAAAATGATAAAAGGAACAGCTAGTAGCACTGAGATAATTCTCCTCCCTGGAATGATCTTGTCAGTGGCTGGTTGCTGTTATGATCCTGAGCTATCCTGCAGCCACAGAGATCACAGCAAAGCTCTCCTTGAGCCAAGTTGAAATGCACACTGGGCCAAACCCTGGTCCCACTGAAGTCAATAAAAAAAGCTCTTGCTGTCCTCAATTGGAATTGGCCATCTGTGCAACATGTAAGATGCAGTAGAAAGAAAGGGCATAAAAAGAGAAAGGACATTTAAAAAAAGGAATAAATACATCCTCAACTTGTGTCCGCAGTTAATTGTAAATTGACAGTTTGCACCCACTGAGGATCTGGCCCATTCTTTAAAAATATACATCAACCGAGTCTCCAGAAGTCTCGAGGAAAGTGACTTTAGAACAAAGAAACCTCCTTTCTGAGAAAGCAGTGTGTGTTCAGGATTCTCATTTTCATATGGCATGTAAAGTTAGATGCTACTAAAAATCTGCCCTGCTTTTGCATTAGTACAGCTCAGACCAGTCCCTGCAAAACAACCGTACAGCCTTGTGTTCGGCTTTTCGGCACAAGACAAAATCTTTAGATTTTACTCTTACGGTCCTAAGCCCTGATCTTGCAAAGTTTGAAGAAGGGGCTTAACTTTAAGCTGTCCCATCGGCTCCGATGCTTAAAGTTAAGCATGTGCTTAAGTGCTTTGCAGGATTGGGACCCTAGAACCTTAAAATTTGTAGGGAGAGAGTCTCATTTTTTTATGGGAAGTCTATTACATAATAGAATTTACCCTGCCAGGCAGAAATCCCAGTAAGACAGGTGCAATGTTAAGGCTCAAGACCCATAATGTTCAAAGTAAAATACATGCATAAAGTGAGGTTTACTAAATGATAGATTAATTGTTAGCACTTGTCATTGGAACAAAATAAGCAATAATGGGCTAATGTTGCAGGGAAAATGTATTACATATTCGGGAAAACTTATAAACACTACACTCAGTTCAGCAGTAGAACAAGCTACAAGACGATGCCTGGCTGGAAATATACAAAGCTTATCCATTAGGGATAATTTCAGAATAATAAAGCCGGTCCTCCCATGATACATAGAGATATACTATATAACCCAGCTAAGGTTACTTCCAGCTAAAACGATTCACTGAGCCAAAGCATCTGCCTTTAGGAAAGCAGAAGAGAAATCAGTCATTCTGCATAACAAGAATGATTTTCTGAGAACCTCAATGATATTTATGCATGTCTATTTTTACCTGTGTTGATAATGTAACGAATGGCTCCATGGCCTAATGTGTCATACAGGGGGACCACCACCATAGAATAGGTATAACAAGCCAGCTCAGAAATGATCCACTGGAAGGAGATTTTACAAAGAGAAAAGGGGTAAGGGAAAGGGAGTGATTAAAACACTTAATGAGATTAAAATTTAAAGTGAGATCAAAACTCAAGAATATTGTTAACACTGCATGAGGTTACAGCAACATCTCACCTCTGGACGGTTTTGTGCAAAGACCCCAATAAACTGACTTGCTGATGGTTTACATCCCTGTTGGAGTAACCCTGATCCTAAAGCTTCTGCTCTTTCAGAGACCTAGAAGTGGGAGAAAAATGGATAAGAGAGAGGAATGTAAGCAGCAGACACAAATGAAACCTAATCTACAGTGGTGGGCTCTAATATTAGTTTGTTGGATAACACATAAAACAGACTCCGGTAGCCTGTAGCCATTAAAGAATTCATGACACTTTTGGCATTCACCTTAGTGCCCTTGCTAAATTCCAACCCGAGCAATTAAATTCTGCTTACTTAAAACTCCCCAATCACGTGAAATTGTTATGTTGCTCTTTATTTCTGGTCTTAGAGCTAATCAGTAGTTTATTTATTTCAGTGTGCATAATGCTTTGGTGCTATTACATGGCCTCCCCGCCCAGAAGTGGCTGCATTTCAGTGGTGAGTGAGGCAAAGTAATCACATTTGATCAAATTTGTACACCTTGCACATGAGTATGCCCACTGAAATCAGTGGAACTACTTCCACGAGTGAAGCCATCAGGATTCAACCCAGGGTTTGTAATTCCCCAAAGCTTTGGCTTGCGAAAGATGCTCTGTAAATCAGTACTACTAGTAGTCAACACTAAGCTCCCAATCCTGCTAAGTGCTGAGACAGCTCAATGGAAGTGAAGAGTGCTTATAGCAGCTGCCAAAAGGTGTGCAGCATCTGGGAGGATCCTGGCTCAAATGAAAACTAGCAGGTAATTGAAAGTGGTAAAATAATACATGATCATAACCCTCCCCTCCCCCACCCCCCCCAGGATAGCACTAGGAGGTTTCTTTTAAAAACAGCTACGTTTAGACAGTAAGGATAAGGATTCTTTGGTGAAAGAAAGATTCATGATAACCTCACCTCTTTATACGACAACCATTGGTAAGGCTGCTTGGGCTTTCTGAATCCTAGACAGGGGCCATTCTCTAAACAAAATAAACAGATTACAAAGTTATGGGGGTCTTAGAGCCAAGTGCTAATGAATTATAGGACCCTGAGCACCTTAACAGTAGGAGGTTGCTCTTAAAGAACATCCATTGTTGTTATCAAGGTCAATCCATGTTTCTCTGAGGCAGAGTTCACACAGAGTGCTACCAGATTAAAAAGGAAGACAGCCCTGTATAATGGGGCACTGGATTATGGGCCATGTTGAGCCTTCATTCAAAATCGCAAAGGTGGTGTTGATGTTGAGCAGGCCCAGTGCCCTGTTAAACCAGCTTTTCCTTAAGACAGTGTGGACATCATTATCTGATAATGGCTTTCATCCTAAATGTCACCTCCCACAGGTCTGGTTGCCCTTTCATTGAAGCCCTAGGAAGTCAAAATTATTCTGAATAAAAATGCACTTCTCTGGAGGAGGAGTGGAGAACATAAGCGTCTCACTGTAGAAAAGAGGACAGCAATACTTGGAATGTTAAACTGCCTTTTTTCCCTGAACCTCACCACACATAACCCACCTGTAGGGTGACCAGACAGCAAGTGTGAAAAATCGGGACAGGTGGTGGGGGGTAATAGGAGCCTATATAAGAAAAAGACCCCAAAATTGGGACTGTCCCTATAAAATCAGGACATCTGGTCACCCTACCCACCTGTCCTCCGAGGTACTTACATGTGCCTCATCACCAGAGTAACAAACTGCATCATATACAGCAGTTATTCTGTTGAGGGTTCTGGTGGCATTAAAACACCATCAGAACAAAGCTCACGTGCTTTGTTCAAGTCCAAAAAGGATCACATCAAGGGCCCCAGTAAATCTGTGGCCAGGACAGGGCCGGCTCCAGGCACCAGCTTAACAAGCAGGTGCTTGGGGCGGCCAAGGGAGAGGGGCGGCACCTGCGGCAATTTGGGGGCGGCAGGTCCCTCACTCGCTTTAGGAGCGAAGGACCTGCCGCTGAACTGCCGCCGCCGATCCCGGCTTTTTTTTTTTTTTTTCAATTGCA